ATGGAACTATTCTTTATAACTCAATCTGCTTTAGGGAGAAATCTCACAATGATATCGTTATTTTATGACTTGATTTTAGCTTAGAGTAAAATCAAAATTATCATATCCGTATAGTTACTATAAGTGAATAAATAGTGATATATGACTATAATTAAATTAGTTTGTTTCTTGGTTTCATAAATCATTCATTTCAACAGATACCAAGGCGATAGTAGCAATATTATTAAAAATCTACAAAGTGGTCTACTGAGTAAAATTCTCAATTGAACTTTGATATGGATTGAATGTATTAAAAAATCTTTCTTTCACAATTGTTAACAGAGATGAGTGGAGGACGGTGGCGATGCAACGGAAGGTTTCGCGGTTTCATCGTGTATTGGCACTACTGTATTTTTTTCAAACTACGGTCAGATCTGCTGAGAAATCTTTTAAATTTTTTCTAAGTGCTTTTCTAGCTTTATTATCGGTTGAGAAGTTTGTTCGATGGAATGAATATTTGAGAACATACATATATGTATATGCATGTTTAGAATGGCAGTATTTATATTTATCTAACAATATTCATGATCTATTCATGTTGCATTAAAATTTTCTCATTCTAAATGTATTTCATAAATATATTTCTTTAAATAAAATATCTACACGACAATCTTGGTCTTCTTCAACCAATTTCGAAGATGATACTCAAGATATTGTGTTTCAAGTTCCTGAAGATAATAATATTGTATCAGATGTTATGGAAATGACATATAAAAAAATCTATTCCTTGCTCAAAGCCAAGAAAACACTTTAGCAATTATTAACTGTGATAAAAGTCGTGCTACTGATTGTTGGAAACGATTTGGATTTCCTGCTGTTATTAATGAAAATGGTGCTATGGTCCAGCAATTAAACAATTTGGCTTCATGCCAATATTGCCTCGTTACATATTCGTTTAAATCTAATAGTACAAGTCAAATGAATAAACACACTTGTGATAAATCATCATGTTTATCTAAATCTTCTCAAAATGCATCTCAATGTTTAAAGCAACCTAAAATTATTTCTTATACTTCAAGTGCTTTGCATACCATTAAACTTAAAGATCATGAAAAAAAGGTGACCGATCGTTTCGTTGCATCTCTCTTAATTAATTTTTTTTATATAACCAGTCAAAATCAATTAAAATAAATGAAAAATTCTAAGAGATGGATACAATAACAATCGATGATTGATTGTTCTAAGGCAAATGACTTTAATTGGGAAAACGGATCAATAAAAAATCTTAATAAAATGTGATCATGGTAGAGCTAGAGTGAACGAAGAATGATTAGATTTGTCAATCGGTTAATGAATTTCAACATAATCTGGACCAACGATAACATGGATCCAATGTTCTTAATTATGCGACCAGAATAAATAAAAATATATATTGACAAGGTTGAAAATATATTTCATTTCTCAATCTCAATGTTTATTGCACACTCTTCAAACAAAATGTCTCAAAGCGAAAAATTCCTTTCTGTAACACGAAAAACAATGCTCCTCCACGAAAGTTACATATATGGTATAGAATGTACAACAACGATATTTTCAACCTTATCAATATATATTTTTATTTATCCTGGTCGCATAATTTTAAAAAAATTGGATCAGTGTTTTCGTTGATCTAGTTTATGTTGAAATTCATTAACCGATTGACATATCTAATTATTCTTCGTTCACTTTAGCTCTATCATTATCACATTTGATTAAGATTTTTTATTGATCCGTTTTCCCAATTAAAGTCATTTGCCTTAGAACAATCAGTCGCCTATTGTTATTCTACGCGTCTCTCAGAATTTTTCATTTATTTCATTTTATTTTGATTGGTTGTATAAAACAAATTAATAAAGAGAGATGCGACGAATTTGTTTTCGCGACGAAATGTTGTGCGACGAATTGTGCCAGTGCCGAAAAAAATAAAATAAAGAATTTACTAGCTGATTGGATATCCACTGACATTCGATCCTTTTCGATAGTGTATGATACTAGATTGCGATCTATAGTACAAGAGCATATTTCTTTTTGCATTTCTTTAAAAACATATTTCTTTATTTTCTTTTTGACGATTATAGGTGCAAAGTATGGGAATATTCTGGTTAATGATGTTTTATGTAGTCATCATAGTATTTATTCTCATCTCGTGAAGTTAGGCAATTAATATAGAAATAAAATTCGACAAGAATTAATTGAACGACTCGAAAATCAAGCTGTGACAATATGTCCTAATTTATGGTCAGATCCATATCGTCAGATTTCATATTTAGGCATAAGTATATGCTTTACAAATGAAAAATTTCAATATTTAACTTATGATCTTTGTTGTTGTCCGTTCGTTGAGGATGATAAATCAGCACCAAATATTATTGTTGTAAGTTCATTGGCTTTTTTTTAGTACCCCGCTATTTTTTCATTTTTTAGGCCATTGAAAAACTCTCGAGCCTTTTGGAATCAGCGATTTAACAAAGTTCAACGGTGTTTCAGATCGCGATTCCAATTTTTTAAAAATCCTCAAGGCATACTCAACAACAAATTGTGTTGCTCATCGACTGAACAATGTTTTAAAAGGTTGCTTTTATCAAACGAACAAAAAGAAACTGGAAAGTGTTAAAGCTGCTCCAGAAGAAATCCTTGAAATAACATCGCCTTCTGATTCCGAAAAAGACAGTGGTGATTATGAAGATGACAACAAAGCTGAAGATAATGGACAAGGTAAAGGTGATAAAGGTGGTAAAGGGAATAAACATCAGGAACAAGGTAAAGACGGTAAGGAGATGAACGTGTTGATGAAGCAACAGGCAAGGGAGAAACAACTAAGACTTCGATTTTGAAGTCCAATGAAGTCTTGAAATCTTTCTTAAGTTTCATCAAGTCAGGCAAAGTCTTGGAAGTCGTTTGAAGTCTCATAAAGTCTCGTTAAGTCTGATGACGTCTTTTGACGTCTGGAAGTCCGCTGTTTTTGCCTCGACCACAGGTGACTTATGTGTTATATCATCAACCATGATGGATTATTCTACTTTAAAGTTATTGAATATTTCATCGGGTGCAGTGAAGATCCTCACAACAATTGAGCTTGAAAATCTCTTGTTAGATACCTCAAAAAAGTAAGAAATAAACGATGAATAAAAATTATTACATGTAAGAAAAACAAAGATAATATTTATCAAGTCTCACATACATGCGGAATGATCTTGAATGCAAATGGAGATGAAAATAAATAAAAATATAAAAAAAAAACAGTTGTAGTTGTTTCTGTAGAAAAATATTATTGTTACACACGTCAAAAGAGACTTTATTTTGATGAAAGCAGGGTTTAAAGCAACTATTGTTGATTTCTTCGAAATCAAAATAACACTATACTTGTTATTGAGGCTAATACTAACATGAAGTGTTCTCTTGTATGAAAGCAAAATTACAGCACTTGTTTATTACTCTTCGATATTGCTGGTATTTGTTTGTATGACTTTTTTTGCAGTGGACTTAACAAAACCATTCAAGATCAATGTGGCGTATATATTCTACAAGCAACTATCGTACGTTGGCTGTCATTAATTGAGGAACTTAAATCAGTACAATGATCGTATGAACAAATAAAGAAGGTTCTGATTGGCAAAAAGAAAATATTTGTATTAGATAAATTAATTATTTCTCAACATATTTACCTTCTAAAACCATTTAAGCACCTAATGATTATAGTTCAAAAAAGGAAAACACCTTTACTTCATTTAGTTACAATTGTTATTCTCACACTTCGTGAAACATTGCGTACACATAAATCTTTGATTGATTACAGCAAAAACTATCGAATAACTTCATCAGCTGAAAGTATCAGTAGAAATGAAGAAGAATATATCGAAGAAGATGAAGGTAATTCTTGTTAAAATGTAAAATTAGAAATAAGATTTTCGTTGTTTCTGTAAGAATGGTTTTTTTTTTGTTTACGACTTTACCAATTACTTAATTCTATGTTTATATTATAATTAATTCACTTGACTGCTACACTTTGGAATCCTCGTTCCAGATTATTGAAAAAATGTGCACTACATGAAATTTGAGAATGTCACTTGTGTATCCGAAATCGTATGCGAGAAATCATAGCAATGAAAAAGAAGAAATCGAAATTTTATGTTCCGCAAGAGCATTCTTTGAAACTTCGTGATATGGAATCGAATGAACCATTGAAAAAAACCAAAACGTTTTGAAGGAGATTTTGAAACTGGTAATATTAGTGATGAATTTGATGATAAATCTGATGATGAATTGAACAAGTATTTGAAGCAATATATTAATGTTGAGTGAATTGATGATAATCCTTTAATATTTTGGCACAAATATTGGTTTATTTATCCTACATTATCAAAATTGGCTAGTTCAATTTTTTCTATGCCAGCAACAACATCAAACATTGAGCATGTATTTAGTGGCAGTGGAATCCTGATCAATTGAAGATAAACTCGACTGAATCCTGAACAAGTGGAGAATACTATGTTTTTACGTTCAGTCAAAAGAAAAGAGTGATTTTTTCTGTTTTTCTATTCTCATGATTGTATTTTTGTATTACAATTATATTTTTTATGATGATTTTATTTATATGTATTGATATTATGTATTTTCATTTCATGAAATAACAAAGTATTTATGAAAGGTTACTACAAAATCATGGTCCATAAAAATATATTTTTGATAGGCGAAGCGGGGCGCTGATGAGCCAGAGCAGATATTAATCTATAGACGGTAGCCGGGCGATTTTTTAGCTGCCTCGCTCATCTCTGATTGCAAGAACCATCATGATAACGGAACAGAAACAATTGTTTTCATCGAAGGTGAGCAAGGCGTATAGATCAATGTAAGATGATACAATTAAACATTTACTAATATCGACGCCATAGTGTGAGGCTGTTGGCTACTTTTCAATAAGTTTTGATAGAAACAAGATAGAGATCTACAGTTTTCATCATTGGAAAGAGAATTATTTTCTTCGGAAAAGTGAGTCAATATGCGATTAATTGTCAGATGACCGATCAGGTGAACGGTTTACTTGATACTTCGTAAACGATGTTTCGAAAGTACTCATTATTGATCCTTGACTTGAAATTCAACCATTAGATAGAAAAAGATTGTTCTCTTTTGATCTACGCTAGGTCGAACTCCTTAATTTGTTTCGTTCATAAGTTATTGATGTTTTTCCGAGATCACCAAAATCGACGAAACGACCTTCAATCAAGCTGACGATGAGTCAGGACAGTGGTAATCGACCAAGATGAGTCGAGTTGCAATCTTTGTTTTTATTGGCGAAGCTACTATACCAGTGTTTTCGATGTTGCCACTCAACAGCCCGAAAAAGAGTGAAAATGATGGAATATTAGATGTTAGTATCGCGGCTTCAGATAACTTGGAAAATAAGAACAAATGTTACTATTCAACTTAGCTTGGCCAATTACCACTGCCCTCAACTATCTTGACTCGACCGGAGATCATTGAGTCGATTTTGGTGGTCCCGAGAAAGCGCGAATAACTCATGAACGAAAGAAATTAGGGAGCTCGATCTCTCGCAGATCGAAAGAGAACAATTTTGTTTTATCAAATGTCTGGATTTCAAGTCAAAGCCCAATGGTGAAAACTTTTGCAATATTGTTTACAAAATGTCGACCATATTGTTCAACCGATTGAACAGTTGATGGTCAATCAGATTGTAACTTATTTTAACGAAAAAACACTTTATCTTTCCAATGCTGAAAATCGCAGATCTTTATATTGTTTCTATCAAACCTTATTGAAAAATAGCCATTTGCCTTATCTTTTGGCGTCGATAGGAGCTACTATGATGGAACCGACAAAAGTAATATTCCACTTAGTAAACATATGCTTTGATCAGACACTTCTACTGCATGGTAGTCATACAATCTCAGTTCTGCATTATATATCAAGTTCAGAGATACACACTTATTCAAGTTTAAATAAAAAATCATACCGTATTTTTTCCTCGAATAAAAACAAGATAAAAAAGACGAGAAATTTTTAGAGCCTTGTTGTACTTTGACTTTTTATTTGATTGTCTCGCTATATCTACATGTAATAATTCATTATAAACATGAATTAGAATGTTGAAAGATAAATCAACAATGCTTAATAAATACCAAGGGGAAACATCGTACTTTTCTACTTTAAAGTGCATTGACGTACGTTAACCTACAATGAAGTACAATCGGGGGTGGCAATTTGCCGTTATATTGCCAGGTAACTGGTAGCTGAGTAACGGAAATTGGGAGGCCTCGACCTTTAGGTTTAGTAAGGAGTATTTCGGGAAATAACGCTTTGGTATAACGGTTGACGAAAGTAAATGGGAATCGGAAAATCCGAATCTACAATTGGTTTATCAAAATTGGGAACTCGATTTTTAGACGAGGAAAGGGGCGTTCTGCAAAGATGAGCATCGATGATAAGGCATCGTGTCACCTTTTCTGAAAAATCAAACTTGCTGCTCGGCTTTATCTTACGAGGGAACCTTCCCCGGGTTTCCCCTCAGATTTCAATCAATTTTTGCCCATATATACTGCATAGTGTCCTAGTATATTCCCTAATAGAATTTTAGTGTATAGTGCTTCCTTCAAAAGTTACGCATAGTTGTATTTAGCCTCTATAAGGCATAATATACATTATATGAGAGAGTGCCTGTGACAGGACCTACCCAGTCGGCCACCGTTAAACTTTTGATTTTCACTTTAATTATCTCAAATGATAGACGATCATTAGATTATTTCAAATCAAATATTTTAGCTCTTTCGGACTTTTCTATGAAAAAACTCGCTGTATAAAAGTTATACACTCCTCAACACTTGGTCGAAAAAATCTGGTTTCATGGACCTTTAATATGTTAAACTATTCTGTGTGTCCACTCATTCATTCGAGTCCTGAAACGTCTCAAAAGACGTAGACAGGTTTTCTCTGCAAAATTGGCTAGATGATTTCTACAGCACATTTTTCCAATTTCTGATCCTCATATGCGAGTTAAAAATATAGTTGGCTTTTATACCAATTTTCTAGCACTTTGCCTCTCACCACACTGGATCTAATTATCCCAAAATAACTTTTATGTATTTTGCGAAAGTCTTTGAAGTTCTAGATCATTTGAGGTAAAGCTCAAATAATTAAAATTCTGATAGCGAAATTTCGCCCATCCTACAAATGTTGATTGCTGATGACCATTTCTAATACAGTTGACTATTACCTATCAATATTCGCGACATAGACAACTTTTTTTGCCTACGTTTTGGTGTATCTTAGTAGTGGCTTATACGATGCTAAATTTGAACGACTTTCATAAAATATAAAAACTATTTTTGAATAGCATGCTCTACAGTGGCTAGACTCAAAATACTAGAAAATCTTCATTTTAGGCAATAGTCATTTTTCGTCCTATATTGAGATTATCACTTAATGAATAGTATTGTACAATGTAATGAATTAACCAATTTTGCAGAAAAAACCTGTCTACGTCTTTTGAGACGTTTCAGGACTCGAATGAATGAGTGAACACACAGAAAAGTTTAACATACTAAAGGTCCATGAAAAACAGCTTTTTTCGACCAAGTGTTGAGGAGTGTATAACTTTTATACATCGAGTTTTTTCATAGAAAAGTCCGAAAGAGCTAAAATATTTGATTTGAAATAACCTAATGATCGTCTATCATTTGAGATAATTAAAGTGAAAATCAAAAGCTTAACGGTGGCCGACTTGGTAGGTCCTGTCACAGGCACTCTCTCATATAACGTATATTATGCCTTATAGAGGCTAAATACAACTATGCGTAACTTTTGAAGGAAGCACTATACACTAAAATTCTATTAGGGAATATACTAGGACACTATGCGGCATCTATGGGCAAAAATTGATTGAAATCTGAGGAAGAACCCGGGGAGACTCCCTCGTTAGTAGTACGATAATATCTCTTCGTTTGTAATACGGAGTAGTACGATCATAATACTGAGTTCTGTAATACAGCTAAATACAGTCGTATACGATGAAATGGAGAATGTATACGGATTTCCTACTCTTCATATCAGAATAGTAATCTCCAACTAGTTTTAATTCTTATTTGTAGATTCTCGTCTTTTGTTATCCTATAGTCATTTCTACCATTGTTTCCATATGATAACTATGTTCCACATAGACAGACACAGGCGAATCACCATTTTTAGACGCTATCTCTTCAGACTAGTGAACAAAAAAGTATTTCGACTATGTTTAAACGATATTACTCGCTGAGAAAGATAGATTCAGTTACTATTAAGCAGTAGTGTCAAACCGGAAAATTGAATTCAATTATTGAAAATCTTTCATTGGATGCCAGAGATGGGACCGGTTACAACTTTTGCCCAAACGAACCGAACCAAACCGAAAAAAATCTCTAATCGAACCGAACGTAACCGACCGATTCGGTCTTATCTCTGTTAGATGCCTTCTTTGAATTTCCGGAAATTTTCTTTCTATCGTATTATTCGAAATCCTGAAACGTATTTGATTTTCCGAAATTTATTTAATCATAATAAATGAAAAGATAATAGCGGTTTGATATAACATTATTCAAAATTTTGTATAATACAAAACATTATTAGTCGATGTTTCGATGATCTATGTCGTCATTATCAAGATTTATTAAGATCTTAGAAAATTGTACATTTAGCAAAGAAAGA